TGTTCGTAGCTTCTTTATAGTTGTGACGTTCAGGAGATGGAGAACCAACAACTAGTGGATTCGACTCAAGAGCCTTTATTTGTTGACCTATCGGATGAGACATTATGATTGTCACAACCTTCAAGACGACGCAATCGAGATGAAGATCTTGAAGAATGACATGTTCTTCCTTGAATAGATGGCAAGATACAACGCGTTTGATATCACGATTTGGGAAGGGACTCCCGATGTTTGGTGATTTTGCTAGAGGTAGGAACAACTCCTGATGGTATTCCAAATGTTCTATTCGAAGAAAGTTATGATGGCCTCAATAATGATCAAATAACTGGATGGTCTTCCCACCTTGGTATGGGACACTACCGATGGTTGAAAGGCCCTATCAATTATCTTCGAAGAGAATAAAGATCAGAGTATGTGGCAAATACAATTCATCGCATCATAGATTTCTTCAACATATGATGACCGCTCCTCGTGGAACTCGTTCCTAGAAGGGGGGGTAATGTCATGGACATACTCATATAAGCTAGTAATTACATATACAAATAGGTAGAAGTAAGTAAAAGTAAGTAAAAGTAAGTTAATTCTATAGTATTTAATATGGTAGCTTCCTAGAAGCTTCATAGACGTTGCTTTGACTTCATAGGTGTCTTTAATTGACTTTTTGGATTAAAAACATGGTCAACAAGTTGGCCATGTGCCACACATGTTGTTAGCTTGAAGATCAAGCTAACTATGTGGCCCAGACGTAGAAAAACTTGCCTTGTAAATCAAGGCATGTGTCCTACAAAGTCAACACATATTGGAGGTCCTATAGAACGTCGCCACGTAGCCCCTAGTTAGATAGTATATATAGAGACAAGAGTAAAGCCTTCTTCACTCTTGTCAACTCCTTTCTTGCTTCTAGTCTAGTTTCAAGGGTCTCTAGTTTTCTTGTCTTTTGGCAATAGCCATTCTAGTTTCTCTTTCAATATACATACTTATTTATTTATATTTTGTTACCTTTCTTTGAGTGAAGGCTCACTTTTCTAGATTGTTTTTTCATCAAGTTTTTATCCTTGACACTCAAATATTGATTGTACTTAAGGTATGTATTACTGTCAATTTTTAATTTCACTTTGTATATCCTATTAATCTTTTTATATTGTATGTTGTTTATCTCAATTATTGAGGTGTGTTTTTTTTTTTTTTTTTTTTTTTTTTTTTAGTTTTAGAGCTTTGTTCTTACCTCTAAAAAGTTTGAAGTGGATGCTTGTTGTTACTTTAACTATATCTCTTCATAGTTAGAATTTATATATGATTTTTATCTAAAGGTCATGAAAGTATAAATTGGATTGTTATTGTGATTTGAAATGGATTTGTAATGATTTTAGTTGTTACTTTTTTTTATTAGTCTTCTTTTTCTTCTATTGTAATATATTGAATACTACAGGATGTAATTACTTTTGTAATGCTTGATGTGATGATTCATAATTTGATTTATTAAACGATTTTTAGTGTAGTGAATTTAATTAGCTTCAATTTTTTACAGAATTGGTATTTGAAGAGCATAGAATATCTTACATGATCAATGATTATTTAATTAGTTCATATTTCTTTTTTTATTTTTTTATTTATTCATACTTTGATAATTTATTTTTTTAATTTCAAATCAATACAAATAAGTTTCATTATTTTTTCCTTGATTTAGAAGGAGAGCATCTAGATTACATAAGCTTGAGTGGATTTTAGGTTATTAATGTACTAAATATAGCTAAATAATCATTTTTGGTAATTCTACACAAACAGCCTATTTTGTTATAAAGCTTGGATCGAATAAAGCAAATATAAATTATGAATATTTGATGATTAGATTTAATCGTGCCTAATCAAAAGACTCTACTTACATGAGTGTTGTAAAGTAACAAACTTTGCAATTCAATTCTTTGGAACTCACTTCTTAAGCAATGAGCCTTTTTAAAGAATGTTGTATGATTTTAACAATGGCACAAGTTGCTCATTTGTATCTATAGTATTAAGTTAGAAAATAGCAGAATATATAAAAATAATATAAAATATTATGAAGATTTGGATTATAATTAAAATAATAAAATATAATAAAATAATAAAATAAAATACTTATTTAATTTATTTAAGTTTACATTTTTAGTTTTATAATTAAAAATAAATATTGTAGAGTTTATTAGTAAGGAGTGTAGAAGGGCTTTGATATCAAGGATAAAATATTTAAACTTCTAAGCTATCATATGTAGATGGATAAGACAAGTTGATGGAAGACTTTATTTCCATTGATTGAAGATCATGCTCAATAGACTTCAAGATGTTGTCTAAGACCATATTGGAATTTGAAGCCACTTTAAGGCAGCTATATGAAGTTCAAAGATTAGGATTTATTAGCTTGTATTGAGGATTATAATTTTTGTGTAAAAATCAAGGAATTTGAAATTTTTATGAGAAAGAAATAGGTACTTGAAGTTTGGATCTTGAAATTGTATTTACTACCATCGTTTTTGAGTTAAAAGAATTGTATGAAAATTTTTGGAGATCAAAAAAAGAGGTTTGAAAGTTGACTCAAAGAATTAAATTTTCTATAAAAAAAATTAATAAATTTTAATTAAGAATAAAAGAAAAAGGCTATTGGAAGTCAATATTTTAAAACTAGAGTTTATACGTAATTTTTTTTATAGAGGTTTTGGTTTGGGCCATATCTTAAGTTTGTAGACAAATTTGAAGCTCAAAATTTCCATAATTATAGATGACTATGTTAAAAAGCTATATATGAAATTTCAAACATGTCAATTTATAGACACATGCATACTAAATCCACCATATCTCAAAAATCCAATACTCAAATATATATGGTTGATTGTTTTTGTAGAAATATTTAAGAATATCAATTAACTTATAGAAAAGTTTGAGTCTAACTAAATGGTTAGATTGGATGTTATTAAATGATACAAATTCAAAAGAAATTCCTATAAGAACAAAAGTGGTTTTAGGATATTTAGTTACATCTTAGAAACTCTTATACATCTAAGACTTGTATATTTGAAGTAATTTTCTTTATGAGGACAAGCTATAAATAAGATTTTTGCTTTATAAACTTGCAACTTGTTTGAGAAATAAGTGGCAACCAAAGGTCTATTACTTTCTTGAGGCAAATCCTTTCTATCATGACAACAAGATCATAGAACAGATCTTCACTCTTCTAAAGTACATTGTCAAAATCTCATCATACAATGCTCAAAAGATTTAAAAAAAAAAAAAAAAAAAAAAAAAAAAAAAATAGAAGGTGAAGAGACAACGACAATAATTATTATTCAAGACAAGGAATAAAAACATAGAAAAGAAGGTTGGGATAGAAATAGAAGCTAAGAATAGGAATGGAGGCTAAAGACAGAGGAAACTTAAATGGAAGAACAAGAGGAATGCAATGATAGTTTAGACAAATGGATCAATTTAATAATAGCTTAGATTTTTTTTTTTTCTTATATATATTAATGTTAAAATGATACATCTATTTACTGAATTGATACATCTTTTTGTAGGAACTTAAGTAAGAATAAGGGAGATTGAGATGAGAGTTATAAATAGAAGAGAGAGGAAGGGGAGGAAGGAAAAAAGAAGAGATTTGGGATGAAGAAGGCTAGGAACAAAAGAAGTAGAGGTTGGAAATGAGAGAGGTTAAGATGAGGGTGATGATTGTTATGATGGTTTTTAGAGATGATCCATTTTTCTAATGATGGTGAAGTTAGGATAGATTGATTTAATAAATGGGTAGGTCACTTTTATATGTATATATATATATATATATATATATTTTAATTTATATTAATTTTAAAAAATAAATTTACATACTTTTTTCTTACCTTCATAAATACATGTTATTTATCAAACTAGATGATTTCTATTAAAAAATTAAAAATATTTGATTTTAAAAATTCTTACTTATTAATATTTATTGAAGAATGATTTTGTAGTAGTATAACAATAAAAGAATGTGATCAGAGAAACAAATCTCTATGGATGGATGATTTTTTCGATGAATATGTACCAACTTTTTGTGAGTTTGTGTTAATTCATGATAATGAATGGTTTATCTACTTATAAAATGTTATACTTAATGGCAGTAATAATTTGTTTAAATAATTGAAGAGATTTTGTCTTTTTCTTTAAAAGAAGTAATTTTAAAGTATTGACTTGTCCATGAATCCAATATATATATATGTATATATATAGATGTACGAAGAATAACATAAAATCTATAATTTAATATTAAAAGAAATTTCAGATTTTTTTTTCATTCAACTTTTTTGAAGTTTATTTTTATTTTTTTATTCCTTTATTTTTTTCATACACCTTGTATGTCTGTCTACTTGGTTGGTTATGTTCTGTTTATCCAATTCTATATTTCTGAGAAATTTGCTAAAACTTTGATATTTCTACAAGTACAACTAATGAGGAAAATTGGTATGCATGGGCAGTAAACTTTTGGTTAAAGAAGCTCTTAAATTTTTTGATGTATCTGTACATCAAGATCTCTCTGTTGACATGTTACTGCATAGATTAATCCTATAAATGTATATTTTCAAGCTAATATGTTTAAAAAAATTCTTTGAATCCTAATTCGAAATTTGAAAGAAACGGGTGCTGATAGAATATAAGAAGTACATTGTTGGGAATATGCAAAATGGTCAAGTACCAAAATAACCAAAATTGAGCAAATGCCACAAACTGTCAAAGGGGAGGGAATGCACCGATGTCAGTCAGGAGGCGAACGAAAGGCAGCATCCCATACTTGATGAAGTAAGGCTTTGCAGAGGAGGAGAAGGAACGAACGAACGAACGAACGAACGAACGAAGGAAGGAAGGAAGAAGGGAGGGAGAGACTCCCTGGGCGGGTTTGGGGACCAGGTGGCCGTGCCACGCCCTTGCAAGCAAGGAGGTGCATCCAGATGGGCACCTCTTGTCCAGGGGCAGCACTCCACCACCGCGAGGGGCCTCGCAGCCAGCCAGCAGTCGCAGCACCACCACCAGCACTACTTCGAAGAAGAAGCAGGAAGACGACGACGACGGCGTAGAAGCAGACGATGACCAGCTATGCCGTCTTCCAACCCGGACTGCCTTGTCCATCTCGATTCATGGGTGCGTCCACTGTTTTCTCTGCGTTGCAGCATTTCATGAAGGTCGGCGCTGGCAGAACATGAGACTCCTCACGCAGGCACCACATAGAGACGCAAGTGCGGCGGAGTTGCAATTTTATTTGCGCAAGATGGCTCATCTCCTCTTTGTATAAATCCGATGAACTAAGTGTCACCGATGGCTGGTTCTTTGATTTTGTCTTGCTGGCGTCGCCAGCTTCAGCATGACACCCGTCATGCCATGTCTAGGTATTACCACTGCCGCCGTGCTCGGTTGCTGTTTTTTTGACGCGTTCTGGTTGCATTTTCCCACAGTTCTATCGTCAGTGTCGTCCACCACGCTCCAGAAACCCTAAACCTTTCCTCTTCTAGTTTTTTGGGAGTTTTTTTCTCGTGACAGGTGACTCTGTTTTGGTTTCGCTTATGTCTCGTACGTTTTCACAAGGTTGCCGTTGCTTTTGATAGGCATCATGCGGATGGATTTGGTGCCTTATCACTCGCAATGGTTGGCGTCAGTGTGGTGCGCAAGTACAGTTCCACAGTTGCGACGGGTCATGGTTTTTTGAGGCCGTTGTTAATCCCCAAAGAATATTCTGGATTGAAATCAATAGCCAAACACCATACGAGGTGCATTGCAAATGTTCGAGAGAGTGGATTGTATTCAAGCACGAGCATTAGTATGCCGCGGATTTTTAGGTTTAGGCTCGGTGGTGTGACAGGAGTGTGGGCCTCGCATTCCAAACTACTTGTACGTGGACTTCGAGATGTTAAACATGAACTTTTGCATGAATGGAGGCAGGTTTTGAAGACTACTAGTGCAGATCTGCGAATAGTTAGGTGTGGGGGACAAGGAAGCTGGCAAAGCCAATCACATGAATGTTCAGGAACTTTTCTACATCGTTCTTTACGAAAACTAGTCACTGCCGCTAGCCTGGCATGTGCACGCTCACAAGTGGTACCGCGGATGATTGCCGTAATTGTAGGCGAGGCTACTTTAGCCCATCAGAGTGCTGCAGGAGTAGAGTCCTTCCCAGCTCGCCAGGACTTGAGTCAGCCTTCACATCCTGTACACATTGTTTCCCTCGTATTGACTCTGTTAGAACTCGTTTTATTAGTAATTAGAGCGACGTATCTAGCAGTCTTGTTTACGCCAGCTATTGTTTTAGCCCCGTTCGCAGATTCCTTTGGACCCAAATTCCGGAAAAGATGGATATCTTTAGTACATTTCTCCTTGGAACATGGGGGCGCGGCTTTCATTAAGTGGGGACAGTGGGCAGCTGCTCGACCAGACTTGTTTCCAAGAGATCTTTGTGCGCAGCTCACAAAGCTTCATTCTAAGGCCCCTGCTCACAAGTTTTCTCAAACCAAGCAAATCATTGAAGGTGCGTTCGGCAGGAGATTAGACGAAATTTTTGAGGATTTTGAAGAGGAGCCAGTAGCATCGGGGAGTATCGCTCAAATCCACCGGGCTGTTCTAAGATTTCGATATCCAGGTCAAATGTCCAAGCCAATGGTGGTTGCAGTTAAGGTGCGACATCCTGGTGTCAGCGAAGAGATTCGTCGAGATTTTACTATAATCAATTGGTGTGCCAAGATATCCAATTTCATACCAGGTCTAGCGTGGCTTAGACTTGACGAAAGCATACAACAGTTTGCAGTCTTCATGTTGACACAGGTGAGTTGGTGTAGGCTTAACTCTGAAGTTTGCCAACAGTTAGCCGCATTTGTGGTGCAAGATGAAGTCTGTAGGTTGCACTGGTGGAGCTTTTCAAGTGCATGCAGCTAATTCTCTAATTCTAATCCGTGTTTCTGTATCATCTGTGATTTTTTGATGAGTGATTTCCTCTCCACAAAAATTAGCAATGTATATAGAGACAAGTAATTTCGAGAGCTGCTCGATTCTCTCCGAATGTTTGTCGGATTGAATGGTCGGCTCAATTTTCTTAAAAATACATCAAATGGAAAAAACTCCTTGGTTTTAGCTACAGTCAACCTTAAAGTTCCAGAGGATTTCTGTTTGATGCACTTGGACCTAGCTGTAAAATTTCTGGTGATTGTTGACTGGAGGATTGGTATGGCAGGTTGACCTGGCAAGGGAAGCTGCCCATTTAAGTCGTTTCATTTACAACTTTCGCAGGTGGAAAGATGTTTCTTTTCCTAAGCCGTTGTATCCATTGGTACACCCAGCCGTTTTAGTGGAGACTTTTGAACAAGGAGAGAGCGTATCACGTTTTGTGGACAGGCGTGGAAAAAATCGCTTGAACAGCGCTCTGGCTTCTATCGGAACTCATACTCTGTTGAAGATGCTCCTCGTAAGGCAGTACTAGTACCCTATGCAACTGGTTGTATAGGAGCGTGTGTGAGTTATTTCCGAAATAATACAATCTATCATTTTCCTTGTGTTCATTCTTATCAAGGAGTTTCACGTTTGTATTGTAAGGTCTTCTTATAGTTTGCCTTTTGCTCTCTTCTCAGGTGGATAACTTCGTTCACGCCGATCTTCACCCTGGCAACATCTTGGTGCGTATGGATCCTCCCAACAAGCAGAGTTTTCAGTCCCGCCCTCATGTGGTTTTGCTTGATGTGGGTATGATTGCAGAGCTGAATGCTCAGGATAGATATACTTTATTGGATTTTTTCAAAGCAGTAGCTCAGAAGGACGGCAAGAAAGCAGCTGAGTGCACGCTCAAATTTTCACGGTCCCAGAATTGCCCGAATCCTAGCGCCTTTATTGATGTAAGTTGACGCAGACAACTTTGTCTTCCTCTCTTGACTGAAGCATTTGAAGAATCATGTTGATCCTGGCCTATTTGCTTCTGAATACACTGAAGAGTTTAGTAGAATACACTGAAGAGTTTAGTAGAATACTCTTGTTGAAGTACTCTTTAATGTCTCATATGCTTGGGAGTTGAGTGCAGGATGTAGAAAAAGTATTCCAGTTTTGGAACACGGAGGAAGGGAATGCACTGCATACAGGAGATTGCATGCAGGAGTTACTGGAGCAAGTCCGGCGTCATAGAGTTAACATAGATGGTGATGTATGCACTGTCATGGTGACCACCCTTGTTCTCGAGGTAAGTGTATTCAACGTGAATTTTTCATATTAGTGCCGGAACTCATACTGAATGTCAATTCTTTGTTGTTTGTATCGCCTACTAGCAAGAAGTGCTGTTGCTCACGGTTTGAATTTTTTAAAATATTCCTATTTCAAGCCTTTCTATACTTTAATTTACAGAAATAGTTTTCTAAGTTTGCTCTCTCCTTTGCCAAGTGGTTTTTAAGAGTCAAAGTTATGGAGTTGTATGTTTTGTCTACTAGCAGACTGCAGATCTTTGTCTTCCCTCCTTTGATCTGAATCTAATAGTTGAAAGCATATAAGTTCAGAATGTTTAAGTTTGGTTTTGCCTTCAAAAATGTGGGTATGGCTAGTTTATTCCTTTTGAGTCAGAATTCAGAAAAGAGGTTTTCTATATTTTAATACAAAACTAGTATCAGGACTAACATTCTTAATAATTTTCTAATTTATTACTCTGATCTCCAGGATCAGCACTTAGTTCTGTTTTGTACGTTACTGCCAAGAATTTATCATGCATTGAAGGTTAACTTGCGAAATCAAACCAACATGAAGTGATGTGCTGGTCTATTTTTCAGGGATGGCAACGAAAACTGGATCCGGAATTGAACATTATGGATACTCTGCGTCAATTACTTTTCAAAGCAGACTGGGTAAATTCGTTGTCATACACAATTGATGGAGTAATGGCTCCCTGAAGCAAAATTAATGTAGCAGATATTTTTTTAGGCTTTTTATTTTTGTAAAGCCTTGTATTTGGTGAGAGAATAAAGTACAGGTAAAAGTTGTGGGCTTTGTCATGTGTGTTCTGTGCACCAGTTTAATGTTAGGATGAGGTTTGCTGTATGTCTATTTGACTCTCACCTGTCTTACTAACTGAACGCCCTTAGATTGACCCATGCCTCATTGAATTGTGTGGGTGCACATACATGTGTGGAGTATGTGATTCTTGGACAATCTGCCCATTACAGGTGGTTGAAGGGTCCACATAGTTAATTCTATATGAATTTCTAGTAGCCAGTCTAACTAAATGAGATTAATTACGTGATAACGAATTCAGCCACGAAATAGAATATTAACATGTCAGTATCTACATTGTTACGTCTCAAAATTAATCAGTCCAATCTGGAGTATTTCCATGATTATCACTGCAGTACTGGAAATAGGAACGAAAAACCATTCTTTGGGTGTATATGCACATGTTTTTACACATGTATATCTACACGTATTCAGAATCACATGTTAATTTTTTAGAAAAGTACAGTGTTTAATGTAATATTAGGTGAGAATCACATTTAAAATTGTCAGTTGTATACTTACAATTCTAATAATGTAGTATTTAATATTTAATATTAAATTATTTATTGATTCTTCTTTAACATAAATGAATCTAGAGCACTGTTTTTGCTACTGATGAATACAAGTTGATTTTCACGCGCATCAATTTACTTCACTCAAAGGTCGTGTGGACTTTTTTACAACATAGATGATACCCCTTGCAAATCATTTTGATGTCTTTGGTACATTTTAAGCCATATATAGTACTTCAGAGTACATGCACAACACATAATTCCAACAGAGAAAGTCAATACTTTTGGTGATTTATTTAATAGCAGATTTCCCATTGATAAAATTCTTGAAAAATGTCTAAGAATTCCATATTGATAGCAAGAATATTGATAAAATTCTTGGAATATTGTATTCTTGCTACAATTTTGTTATTATGATTATGATTATTATTATTTTTAAAGAGGTGTTTCCTTTAATGTGATTTTTTTTTTTTTAGTTTTTTTTAAGGACCAAACTATGTAAGATATATTTAATCATCATAAAAACTATGATCTGATTAAAAATACAACTTTCTACATTTCTTTTAAAATATTAAATTATAAACCTTGTTCAAAAAATTTGTCTTACTTCCTAGATTGTACTTTGATAGATATTCATTCTTATTTTTCCTCTTTTAAAGTTAATTTGTAAGCAATCTATGAATTGGTGTAATAAATCCAATTTCTAAAGTGTGGTATTGAACTAGGATCAAAACCAAACTCCAATGCATAAAACCAATAACCTATGACAAAGGTGGGGTTCTTTTGTTGATCAAAGAAGAAGGTTTTAGAGTAGATTTAATAAGGTTTTTGTAAGCATTGATTTTCAAGGATTTGAGTGCATGATGACTTTGTGAGAGCTTTGCAAAGTCAAAGCTATTTTAGATGACTCTATTTTTTATTGAATAAAAAAGGGATTGCATTTTAGTGAATAATGTGAGTTTTGTAGTAGATCTATTGTTAAAATCTAGTGGATTTGTGAATATAGTTGTGTTAGATGTAGGTTGTGAAATTAAGCTTGATTGGATAGTCAAACAAAAGTAATTGGGATTCAAGTGAGTTAGGATCTTAGAAATTGGATTTTGAAGGTCATTGAGAATTTCTATAATATTGAAAAATTTTCCAATTGAATTTGAATTTTATTTTTGTGAACTGATTTTTGACTTTCTTAATATTCATGCAAACTTTGAGACCATGTTAACAATTCAAGTTGTAAATCAGTAGAAGGTTTGTATTGATGTTGAATCAAGAAGACAACTAATACTTGATTGGATTCAGAAAACTTTCTTCCAATTTGTAAATTTAATTTTCTTAAAACTTAGGGTGTTTTTTTTTCAATTAATAAATTAATATATTTGATAGGTTTGAATTAAGATCAATGTTTAGAATAATAGTTATTGAGATTTGAAATTTGATATGGTATTTATTTAAGATTTGACTAAGATTTGTTAGAATTTACTTAAAAGTTTGATTAGAATTTATTAGAATTATTAAGATTAAATTAGTATTTGAGTAATTTTCTATTAGAATTTAATTAGGATTTTGTAAAAAATATGATTAGGATTCAATTATGATTTATTTTGGATTTCTTTATAAATTCTTTAGGATTTGAAAAAACAAAATTTTAAGGGTTTCTTGTAACTTTTTTATGATTTAATTTAAAAAAATTAACAATTATTTAAGATTTAGTTGAAGATGAATAGAATGTAATAAGATTTCTTAGATTGTCTAAGATTACTAAGAGGGTATTTTTAAACATGTTATGTATTTAATTTTTAGGTTGTAAATCCAACTTCAAAGTAAGTTCAAATCTTGTCACAACCAAATACCTAGTACATTCTTAAGCTAATTTTCACAAAAATTGGCAAATCCTTAAAATTCCTTTACAAAATATACTTTATGTATTACTTTTAATCTAATTTTTTAAAAAATATTTAAAATTTAAAGAAATTACATTACATTTAAAGAAAAGTTTTAATTTTAATTTTAATTTTAATTATTTTATAACACATTCAGATTAGAACCTCAATTTACAAATTAAATGTGATTTTTTGATTTAATTAACTGTTTTTATGCTTAATAAGAATTGTAAAAAGCTATTTTATTTAAAAATTAACTTTTTCAATCTTGAAATCCAAGAAATTTTTAAAAATTGTAAATCTTAATTTTACAAGATTTTTTAATTTTTTTTTTTTTTATTACTTAGTTATTAAAAAATAATTCAAGTTTAAAAAAGAGATGTTCTAAATAATTGATAAACTTGATTAGATAGAAGGTAATAATATAAGATGGTATGAATAAAAAATATGGAAGTTAAAGAGATGTTAAATTTAATAAATATAATTGCTAAAAAAAGCTAGTGGATTACATAAATGTAAGAAATATAAAGTTTTATATACTTAAAAGGTCATGGTAGACTTAATATTAAATGTCAAAATAAAGGTTAAAAAATTAATTTTAAAATATTTATTCTAATATGTGGGTGTGGTTTTGAATCTTATGTAGAAATTAGGATTCTAGTACAAAATAGGAAAAATAGCTATAGATTTATAGAATGTGAGATATAGCTAGATAATTATAGTCTTTGAGATGTAAAAACTAATATATAGACTTTAGTTATAACTAAATTCTAATAAATAAAAAAATAACTAAAAATATATTTATCATATATTAAAAATAATTTTATGTACCTATATTTTTTTTTCATATATATAACTTGTATTTTTTTCATATTTTTGTTTTTTCTCTTAAACATAAAAATATTTATTAATAATTAAAGTAAAATTAAGATATAAAAGATATTAAAGAAAATAAAAGTAAAAGTAGAATAAGTTATATTATAGAAGATATTACTTTAGATAAGTTGCTATTAGTCAAAAGATTGGTTCTTGGTATGTACAAAGACCAAAAGATAAAGTAGATGAATAGACAAAGGATCTTAAGGATATAAAAATTATACTAAAAGTATATTTTCATAAAAGATAAGATAGCTATGGATAGTTTTGGTAGAATATTGAATGGATATTTTCATCAAAAGATGGAAGTTGTCGATTAGGACAACATCCACCATCTATAAGTAATAGACATTGGAAGTGTGAGACGTCTTACTTCATACTTTCTTTGTAAGCAACCTTGCTGATATTATGTGTTGGTGACTTCAAAGTTTTTTTTTTTTTTTTTTTTTTTTTTTTTTTTTTCTCTTCATTAAATTATAGGCCCACTCATCTTTACTTATGAGTTTTGAAGTTCTTTGAAGTCTTTCTTATTGTAAGGAGTAGATCTTATGGTTGTTGCTGATGTTAGGATTTGATGTCTTCTAAACTCCATTTTGCATCTAATTTTTGATGTATTTTTACTCTTAATTTTTGTTAAGTATATTCATTTTCTTAAAAAATATCAATCACCTTAGAATGCTTTTATAGAATACTAATGCTGTGTTTTTTTGCTGAGTTACATCATTGGTGCATTAATACTATATTTTTGTATGCTGAATTTCTTAAGAAGTTGTCTTATAGTGATAAGGAGATATTTGTGAAATTAAAAGTATTTTTGTAAGAGTTGAAAGTGATTAAAGAGCAAAATCACTAGTTTATTCATAAAAGAGGTATTCTAGATTTTTAATGTAATAAGACCTTCTTGTTTATTTAGAAATCTTTATCTTTTTTTTTTTTTGATTTTTTTTTATACACCTCTTCATTAGACATGGCTTCAAGTGAAGGTGGAGCTTGAAAGTGATTGAGAAGTTTAGAGGTGACAATTTTTACTACTAGAAGAAGAAAATGGAGCATTTGTTGGCTTCATTGGACCTTTAGAATATGGTTGATGAAAATGAAGAGCCTTTAAGCAATGATGTTGATATCAAGATGAAGGAGTAAAAACGTCATAAAATGAAGGCTTTTGGCATGATTACATCAAATTTGGATAATACCAACTTTTCACATATAATTGCTTACAATAGACAAGCGGAAGCATAGAAGATTCTTTGAAATATCTATGAAAGTAGAAACCTTGTAAATATTCTATAGACAAAGAAGAAGTTTTAAAAAATAAAGATAGAAAAAAGAGATGACTTCATGGCTCATGTCAACAAGATAAAAGCACTTGCAAATCAACTAGCAGTTATTTACAAGAAAATTGATGATAAGGATATTATGTTGACATTGTTCATGAGTCTTTTCAAGTCCTACAACTATCTCATTATGGCATTAGAAACTATTAATATGAAAGAGCTTACCATGAATTATATCACATTAAGACTTACCCATGAAGTGATTAAGAGGATAGAAAAAGAGCTTCAAAGTGATGATTTGGTTCTATTTTCAAGACAAAAAAGGTAGCTATTTTCACCAACATGAAAATTTAAAAAGCAACATAAAAAAATTACTATATTTATAAAAAACTAAGTCACTTTTTTAAGAATTATTGTAAAGCCAAAAAATAAAATAAAGAGAATGCAAACAATGCTAA